ATTTATTTATTTATTTTTAATTTTGATGTCGGGTCTGCCCGTGCCCCGCGCTTCGCTTCGGCCCTGGGTCACGCAGTGGGGCGAAGGGCTGGAGCTGGCAGGGGCAGCCCCGGCTGGGAGCGGCCGCCGGTCGGGGCGGCGCTGCGCGGAGCGGAAAAACAAAAACAACGGGGCCAGAAGCGCCGTCAGCCGCGACCAAAAAACAGATATAAACACTTATTTTTTTTTTCATTGTATATACAAAATACGTATTTTGGGTGGTTTCTTCGCAGCGGCGCAAGGAGGAGGAGGATTTGCCCTCGAATCGCAGCTCATGCCAATGCAGGCTGCCCCCCCCCCAACACACACACACACCCCGAGCCCGGGCCGGGGGCTCCGCCCGGGCCCTGGCCTTGCCCGCCCCCCCCGGGGGGTCCCCCGCGCCCCCTCCCCGCGGAGGCTGCAAGGGGAGGTTTCGCTTGCGCTGCTCGCAGCGATAGGCGGCCTCGGGGAGGCGCTGCTGTTTGTTTTCCATCGTGACCACTTTGTTCATGCTGGAGAAAAAAGAAATATATATATATATTTATGTGTGTGTGTGTGTCTTTCAGTTTCGCGAGCGTTTTCCACGTTGGCCGGCGCGCCCTCCGGCGCGCCCCGCACGTCCCTCCCGCGCTGCCCGCCCCGCCGCGCCGCGCGGGCCGGGCGCGCAGCGGTGCCCCTCGGCCCCGGGAGCGGCCCGGCCCCGGGGCACCTGCGCGGCGCCGCGCGAGCCCGCGGGCGCCGAGGGGCGGCGGGGGGTCGGTGCCCCTTCCCCGTTCCCCCCCCAGCGCGAAAAGCGGCTTTTGGGGAGGTTTCTCCCAGAGGACGAACCCAGGCGCTGCCGGGATAAACAACGGGATCGCGTTGCACTAGGGAAAGGGGCGGGGGAGGACGCGGGCGAGGGCCTCGCCCAGGGCTCCCCCCAGCCCACCTCTATACACTTTTACATTACATACATATATATATATTTTTTTTTTCTCTCTCCTGCCGCGAGCGCGCTGCAGCCGCCGGAGCCGCCGCGCT